GAATATCCATGCTGTCGACTCAACCTGACTTTCGGCAATGAACTGTCAGTTGTTGCGTTAGCATTTGATGTGGCGATGGTGACAGACACGTCAAATGCAAACGCAACACCTGTTGCGTTCAGGAAACCTGGGAGATTTAACATTACAATAATGGCAGGTTATCGAAATATAATTTAAAATGGCCACATTACATTGAATTTGATGCAATATATTAGCAAAAGTACAGGAAAAATAAATAATACTTTTTTTAAAATAATGCAATGAAATTATTTAGGGGGGCTAAAGACATTTTTAGGGAGGCTGAAGCCTCCCTAAAATAGGCCTAATGACGCCCATGGCCAACACTGATACAACAAGAGAATAAAACATCTACCCGTTGCCTGAGCAGTTTATCCTCAGAAGAGGCACAGCCCATCCTGGCTGTGTTGGGGCAGTAGACGGGGTTGAGATAATGAAGTGGATCCTTTGAGGCCCCACCCACACCCACCATTAAAATTCTAATCACAGAGCTTTTAAAAGGCTGAGGGCGGTCAACCACCTCACAAAACCTGTTGATAAGCCACCTGAGTCAAGACGTTCACTTGTGCACATGGAGAAAGATGCTCGACCCAATTGGGACAGTCCCTGGCAGTTCCTATTGGTTTGTATTTCTTATGCCATTGGAGTGGGGAATGTTTGGCGATTCCCATACCTGTGCCAGATGCATGGGGGAGGTGAGAACTGTCATGTTGGTCTTTTTTGTCATTGTGGCTTGTTGCATGTTGAGGAAATTGTGGCACGTTTCCTTATCCCTAACATCAATTAAGATGGAATATACATACAATAATTACGAGCTCTCTATTACTTTTAATTTAACCCTTACTGCCTGAAAGGAGCAATCAAAATAATATATGGACACAAAATATGAATTGGCTCTTAAACATCATTCCGAAATTTGAAAATGACAATTTAATAGGGATGAAATGAGAATGTGCTCATGACTCTGAGCAGCGAGACGTCAGTGTTGTCTGCCAAATGTTGGTTATTTCCATGTTGTAAAAAGTTTTCTTCTGAATGTTTTTTTTTTTCAACACTAACGGAAGGTCAACTGGCATTAGTATATTGGTGACAATTTCTTTTAAAAATCCATTTAATAAACAATACCATTAGTCACGAAGCACCTTTGAACCTCTTAGACAAATAAGACGCTGTAAACTTGACTTGGTCAGCCAACTTGAATTGCAGTCGAGGGGAGTAGGAAGGTGCCGACCAGCGAATAGCACAAATCTCTGTATAATTGATACACATTGAAATTCAGTGGGAAAAAATAATAATGAAAAAAAACGTTCTTTGAAAAATGGCAATAAAATTCAAAATACGTTTTACATGAAAATGAAATTGAATTTAATATACAGACTAAGAAACACTTGGAGTATTGTCAGGTTAGTTGATTGTAAAACTTCCAAAAATGTTTTTACCAGAGTGAGAGTTGATAGAAATTTGAAGCAGACTGTAAACCTCAATAACATGTCATAAACTCGATGGCTGAACCATGGAGCACCATTGCAAATGAATGAGCTCTATCCAGCCTAAGTGACAGAAAAACATCATAATTAAAAGCAACATAAAATTGAAAACAAAAATAATATCATAATACAACAATAATACCATATACCAAAAAATAAATCTTTTATTTTATGCCACTCATATATCCAATTCAAAAGTACATTTACAATGTCCTGTGAAAATCACATTTGTCATTTTTAAGTTTTTACGTTTACAGGATGTCCGAAGCGTGGACATATCATTAACATAATTTTTTTTAAAAAGAGAAAAAAATGTACATGTGTTTTTCACAGGACAATAATGATTTGCTATCTATTTGTTATAGTGAATTGTGTGCATGTGTGTGTGTGTGTGTGTGTGTGTGTGTGTGTGTGTGTGTGTGTATGTTATACTACTATAAGTACATATCACACTACTTTGTCATCCGAAATGTTCCATATATATGGGGAAGCTACAAGATATTAAATTTTATTTTTTTTCTTCATACTGTGTGTAAAGACTACATTTAATTGTGCTTTGCTCCAACAGGGGGATTCTTGATTCCATATCTGCTGATGCTGTTTCTTGAGGGTGTGCCTTTATTCTACATGGAGCTCGCCATTGGTCAAAAGATGCGCTTGGGAAGCATTGGGGCCTGGTCGGCCATTAACCCGTATTTGGGAGGAGTGGGTACGTACTTGAAACCATAGTATTGCTACGATTTACTGTAGAAGTACTGCTGCATTGTTAAAAAAAAAAAAAAAAACTACTCCCTTAATTTGGATGTGTAGTGAAAAATGTAGATAGCTGTATGCATCTGAGAGGTCATTCATTTGACACTAGCACGAAACACAAATGACTTTGTGGTGTAGACTGTGGAGAACATTGGCCCTCCTTTACTAATGTGCTGACACACCAATCTTTCTGCAAAATGTGCACACACATGTACTGTATGATTCATCAATAGCTTCATCTTTGAGGACACTTGTCACGTTTAGCTTCGTTTGTATGTGCTTCTGTACTGTATCTGAGTGTTCTGCTGCACTCTGTCTGTTAGGCAAAAGCAGACCCATCCACTGGACCTGGAAATTGCAGTTTTCTGAGGAAAAAAATGGGGTGAAAGACCTCAGACATCTGTAAAAAAAAAAAATCCAAACATTCAAAAGAAATAATCTTCATCTTAACTCTCTCATTTCATTCCAGATGACTTAATGGAATTAAGTCATCTGGGAAGGTAATAAAAGCATTGAGATAACTACTACAAGCAAACAAAAATTGCACTGCCTTTGATACGAAATGGTAGCACAAATGAATAAATCTGACTCCTCTTCATTTTTCTCCAGTGTATCGTCTTGTTTTTTTCACATTATTATTCTGGTCATACACCTCGTGGTCCTTCTTTGGGAAGATGTGAAGCCCCAAAATAACACAAAACGAGCACAGAATTACTTCTTCACTGGACTGACAGGATGAAAATGTTGTTTGGCTCTGTTGTGCAGGTGGTTTACTTCACAGCCACGTTTCCTTATGTGGTGCTCGTTATCTACCTCATCAGGGGTTTGACTCTTCCTGGTGCCATCCATGGTATCACATACATGTTCACCCCCAAGGTAAGGATGTCTTCATTCGGCCATTATGATGTGATATGTCAACGAACAAAAAAACATCAGTACATTGGCCTTGGATACTGTTGGTATATGTTTCTATTTCGGCCAAGAAGAATATACAACCGAATGCGTTCTGTACATATTGACCCGTATGTTTACATGATTTTAGATGGAAGAACTGGCCAATCCGACTGCATGGATAAATGCTGCCACTCAGATTTTCTTTTCTCTGGGTTTGGGATTAGGGTCGCTCATAGCGTTTTCCAGCTATAATGACTACAACAACAATTTTGAGCGACAGTCGATCATTGTCACCCTCATCAACAGCGGAACCTCCATTTTTGCTTCCATCGTCACCTTTTCCATCTATGGATTTAAAGCCACAGTTAACTATGAGAACTGCCTGGAGAGGTGAGTTTATGTTCATTGTTGCATATTATCGATGATCCAAATGTGGTGAGTGTAAGTTTAACCTTGGTTGTTAATGCAGCCAAAGTAAGTATTGGATAACTGGTGTTCGTCTTTGGTAGTAGTGTTACTGCATTGTACTTGTCAAATGTCTGCGTTTCAAGAGTGAAAACGGTGTCTAAATTTTGCCCGTATGTTCAGAATTAAGAAAGTTATGACATTTTAAAGCAAGGGTGTCAAACTTTGTCGCGGGCCGCTTTGGAGTGACGTCTTCCCTCGTAGGGCTGTTGCGACAGTGAAACCGAATAAATGTTTAAAGGATCATCTCATCGTATTATTACTTGTACACAAATAAATTGATGGATTACTATTTTTGTAATCACTCAAGTCAAACATCTCGTTGTTCAATTAGGTTTAAAGTTTCTTTTTTTTTTCCTTACAATGGTCTTTTTTGGTGAAGAGAAAAACTCTTACCGAGCTGACAGTTAGGCTGTCACTTCAGCCTTCGTCGACCCTGTCACTGCTTCGTTGTTTGTTTGTTGTTTGTTCGATTATTATTCAAGTGAGTGTAAACAGGGTAACAAAATGATTGAAAAATGTCAACGTTATTTATCACACAATCACAATTTGACATTTTGGTACAGCCTATAGCAAGGATCATGGAAGTTGACACATGAATTGCTTTGGCGGGCCACATAAATTGATGTGGCGGGCCGGATCTGGCCCCCGGGCCTTGACTTTGATACGATGTCCGAAAGGCTTCAAAAAGTGTGCAAAAATGTCATGTTGTTACTAATTGAAAACAATGGAATGGCCAGTCATCGGTTTTTCAGAAAAAGAATGATGCTAAGATCTTGAGGCCTCGCAGTTTCCTTTAGTGTGGACAAGAAAGTGTTCGATTTCACAAGACGAGTGATCAAAATTACAGTTAATGACAATGAAAATAATTCTAGGCTCATATTTCCTCTGCGAGTTAACTGTCAAGTTTGGCTGTCCGACACATTTTCTTTGCTTCCAAAGCATTGAGAGTAGCTTCCTTTTTTTCACTATGTTGCTGCTGTTTTACTTTCTCAGAGCGGACTTTTGCCCGGTCACCATTCATGTTGAGGAGTTGATTTGTCAACGAGATCTGTAGATAATTTCAAGATCGCTGGATAATTAAACTCGGCAAATGCCAGCTTTCACACACGAGGACCTTGCATCATATACGATAATTCCATCCAAATTCACACAAGCAATAAGATAAGATAAGATAAGATAAGATAAGATAAGATAAGATAAGATAAGATAAGATAAGATAAGATATCCTTTATTTGTTCCACACTGGGGAAATTTTCACCTGGCACACCCAACAAATTAAATCTCTGCTCCTTTGTCATATAATATTTTGATGATCCAGAATACAACCCTTGGCAAAAATTATGTAATCGTCAGCCTCAGAGGATGTTCATTCAGTTGTTTAAATTTGTAGGGATAAAAAAAATAAATAAACAAAACCAAAAAAAACCAAAAACAGATTATGGACATGACACAAAACAAAAGAAAAAAAAGTGGTAGTCAGTAACAGTTACTTGTTCTGACCAAACAGGGTGTGGAATCACCCTGTGAATTTCTATTCCCAAAACTAACACCTGCATCGGATTAAGTCTAAAGTCTAAAATCTGGAACAAGTATGAAGAACACGGGAAACTTGTGAAAGGCAAGCATTCTGGTCGACCCGGGAAGACAGAAAACCTCAAGCAATATGTTAGAAAAACAGAAAATGTACAGCAAAACAAATGGGGAACAAACGGGAGTAAACTTGAGTCAGTGTCTGTGACCAAACTGTGAGAATCCGCTGAAAAGAAATGTGATTTACATACACGAAAGCGAATTGAAAGCCATCATTAACATCTAAAAAAACAACAACAACCAAGGTTACTATGGGCTTAGGAAAAGCAATCATGGACTGAATATGATTGGATGAAAATAATATTCAGTGATGAAATTCAGTATTGGGCAAGGTGATGATGTTGGAACTTTTCTTTGATGCCGTTCCACTGAGATTTCTGAAGACGACTGTCGGAAGAAAACATACACATTTCCACAGTCATTGATGACAAGGGGCTGCATGTCAGGTAAAGATGCTGGGGAGATGGCTATCATGACATCTTCAATAAATGCACAACTTGACGGTAACTTTTCCGGAGACTTTTCTTATTTCATCAATTGAAAGGACTACTGTATTGGGAATTATGAAATCTTTTTTCAAGATGATTGTGCAGCTAACCATAGAGCAAAAACTGTCAAATTATTCTTATAAAAACACAGAAGGTCAATATTGTGGCCCACAGATAGTCCTGATCTCAATCCCAAAATGTTGTTGTTGATTTTGAAGTCCATGTTTTTTTCCTCATAAGTGAGTGATTCCGTTTTTCCTCTGATTTTCCCCTCCAAGAGTTGTACATATTAAATCCAACTCAAATTAAATATCATCCAATCTTGAAATTTTCCAGAGCATACCTTTTCCATGTGGAGCCTTATAAAACTTTGAAGCTTTACATACCACTCCAGCGCACAGAGTGGATCCGGCAGTGGCGGGCCGTGCATTTCAACCTTAGGCCTTCAGTGACGTCACATACATACACAATATAGGCTCGTCAAGCAGCACTTAATTTCAGGAGCATTTAAAACCATCAAGTATGCATTCACAATTAAGAGCAGGAAACTAAATTTACAGATAGTCAAAAATAAAAAGATGATTTAAAAATACGAAATAAAATGCCACCCAAATTACGCTGTGTGATCTTATACAAGTCTGTCCAATAAATTGCGCAATGTCGCAGTTTCATATAAGACACCAACCAAACAATAACAAAACAAACT